GCAGGTCCGGGGGAGGATGTGGGGGTAGACACGTGACTTCTCCAGCCAAGCAAGAGCCACGCACCGCAGCGTGGCCACGGGAAATCCACCTCCTCCTTCCGGGGCGGGGGGCCTCCGCTTTGGTAGAATGTTCTGGGGGTGTCACCCTCACATCGCCTCCTGAGCACACTGGACTAAATGTCCTGTGGACAGCCTCGTTTCAGGGCAGAGCCGAAGGCCCCTGGAGGTGGGCAGGGGCAAGCTGGGCTGCTGCTCCAACACCTCCCCAGCCACGCCCCACCTGGGGGCCTCCAGGGCACAGCAGGGGTCAGAGCAGGTGCTGAGGTCAGCATCCGGGGACCTGAGCCGCCCATCTGCCCTGCCGTTGACCCTGAGGACCTGGCTAGCACAGCACCCGTGTGCCTGTTTCCCCCTCTGTAGGGGGAGAGGACCCCGGCCCACCCTCCCTGCTTTGGGGTGCTCTAAGGACCCAGAGAGCAGCTGGAAAGCACGGGAGGGCCTAGGTTGGCAGCAGGTGCCCAGATGGGGGTACGTACACCTGGCGGGGACATGGCCCAGTTAGCAGTGCCTGGCCTGCACCCCCTGCTCGCCTGGTCAACAGGGTTCATCTGCCCGGGCAGGACAAGGGTCCCTGCGGTGTTGACGCTAGCCAGGTGGCCTGGTCCCGTGGGCAGCTCAGCCCTGGTCCTGTTGGCCAAGGTTGCCCCCCGCAGGCCACCGTGGCAACAGCGGCGCTGGCTGAGTCGCGAGGAGCTGGGAGGCCTTTCTAGGGCGCTGGTGAGCGGCTCCCAAGCCCTCCCGGCCGCTCTGCTCCCCTCTCCCCGAAGAGGGCCCTCCCGCCCCGACGGACACAGGCAGGGAAGCCCAAAGAGCAGGCAACACCTAGTCGCCCTGAGGAGGCAGGCGCGCCACGGAAACCAGCCGGCCACTGCTGCGATCCCGGGTGTGGCCTCGCCCCGGCCACCACGCCGGCTTCGGAACCCCCATGCCTGAGCTGGGGCGGCGCGGAGGGCATCGGGAGGATGAGATGGGCAGGGGTCTTTGCAGAGGCGCGGCCGTGGTGGCCTGGGGCTGCTGGCGCCCCGTCACAGACGCCCTCCCCCCGCAGATGGCGCCCTCTGGTGCAAGCTCACCAGGCCGGTGGCCGCGGGCGGACGGCTGAGCGTGCTTCTCGCGGCCGAGCCCCACAGTGCCCCCAGCCAGCCTGTGAAGGAGCCGGCGGAGCCCGAGGGCCTGGCCCCCTCCCCCGCCGCCGACATCCAGCTCCTGCCCCAGCAGGCGGGCATGGCGTCCATCCTCGCGACTGCAGTTGTCAACAGTGAGTAACCCGCTGCCTGCCCGCCCCCCACCCCAGGCTCAGAGCTGCAGGCAGTGCCCAGCTCAGGATCTGCAAAGACTGGTCACCACTGCCACCTGAGCAGAGGAGGGCATGTGCCCCGGGGGCATGCACAGGGGCCTAGCAGTGGGGTTCCAGGAGGGGCTCCAGGGTGCAGTCAGCGTGCAGGGGGCCACGTGGTGAGCTCCCAGATGCTGACGGGGAGGCGGGCCCACAGCCTTCCCGGAGGCTCTGCAGCAGAGCGGGCTTCTCACCGTGGCGCCTCTGGCACACGCTCCGTGGGGCCCGGAAGGCCCCTCTAGATCACCAGCTGGAGAGGCCACGCGGGGCAGGGATGGAGTCTTGGACACATGCACCGTGGGGTGCCCAGCAGCAGCCCTGCCCTCGCCCACTAGACGCTGGTACCATCCCCACCTCCCAGTTGTGAAGGACGTGGCCAAGTGTCCCCTGGGGCAGAGCCGCCAGTGAGGAGAGCTACAGTGGAGGGACCACGTTTGTCACTCACTGCTCCCCACAAGCAGCGGAGGGGGTCTGAGAACCGATGAGATTCACTCGTTTCTCAAATCCTCGTTCAACGTCCACACCAAACCAAGCGGTCAAGGCACTGGCGTCACCGAGGTGGGGACAGCTGCCCGCCCTGAGGGGGCAGCCTTACTGGGGGGGCAGGCGGCCGCAGGCACACCCACCAAGGAGGGCAAGTGGTGACGTGGGCAGTGGCTGGGGTGCTCGGGAGACCCGCGCGCCGGGGAGAGCAGCTGAGCGGACAGCCCGGGCCCAGCGAGACGGCCACCGTGGCCAGAGCCAGACTCCGAGGGTGGCCCCGGACCAGGGCTGGGATTCCTTCTCAGAGAAAAGACCGCGGCAGGGGGCTTTCAAGCAGCAAAGGGTACGACCCCATTTAGTTCTAAAATTGCATGGCTGCTAGAGGGAGACTGTAGGCTTGTAAAATTGGGAGAAAAGTGACCTTTTTAAGCAAGTCAAACGTGACGACGGCTTTAAGCAGGTGGAGGCACCATGGCAGAGGCCAGAGGGGCACTGGAGTGAACAGGGCCTGCCGGGGCCGCGGGTGGGGGGGGGGGGGACACGGCCGGG